ATTTAAATATTCAATTAATTTATTTCCTCGAGGAATTGTTCAATTTCCTTACACAGAGATGCATAAATATTCTGATAAAAAATAAATGTAATGTTCTGATAAATGCCCTTTGTTGCTTTCTTGGAAGACAAATTTAGAAACATACTCATTGTTGCAAAACAGGAACACATTTTGCACAATAAGTAAATATTGAATTTCGTGTCCTCTTAATGTGCTAATAATTCATTTATTAGCATTTCTAGAGTAACATAAAACACTGTGCCCCTTGCAACAGACAATAAAAAATGAAACTCACTTGATACATAAATTAAAACTTTTCTTGTTAGATAAATATTAGTATTTCCAGTATTTTTTGAGCTTTTGCTATGTTAGTATACATTAAATTATTACCCATGCTAGTATTATATTAAATGTGTGCTAGATTGCATCCATGTGAATGCCAAACATATTTTAAAGTTAAAGTTATAAAAATTATTGTTTACAAAACTTGGGGCATAACTCTGTATGTAAATGCTATACAGTTAAAAAGTAACTTGATGGAGTTCATTTCAGTGGCCAATTTATTTCATTTCTCTTACTTTTGTGTGTCGTCTGGGACTAGCATTCCCATTGGTTGTTTACCAGGACGTGCACAAGAGCATACCCTCATGTTTTTATCATGGCAAAGAGCATTGCTGGCCCTCCTGGCTGGAGTTGCTGAATCAGCAGACATGGATGTACAAGACAGTTCTCTCAAAATGGATCAGAGACCTGTTATCTGTGAATATAATCTGTGCTTGCCCAGTAACTGCTCCTGTTGGCTCTAGTTGCATATTGGGTGGATGTAACAAGAGTTAGACTCAACAGCTCACCCCCTTTTATTAGAAAGAAGTAGTATGCTCTCAAGAGACCTGCTGAGATAATGAGTTTCAATTACACGGGAAGGGACCTTAGGAGACAGATGTCAGGGAAGGTGTTGACGTGGTAGGGGACTCATAACTTAAAAAAACCGTATGAGTAGGTGCCCCTGTGACCCTGTGTGACCTTTATTTCTGGCCGGCACATTCTCACATTCTGGAGCTGGTATCAGTTTCCTTTAGTGCCTTGCCAGTTCCCTTCCACCGCAGTGCTCACTCTTCCTTGTGTCCTGTCTGCTTGGCACCTGTAGGCCTTTGCTTTGGACAAATGTTGATGCCCTAAGCATGTGCTTACCTTGCTTATTAGGTAATCTGTCCCTGATGGTGACTCAGAAAATAAGTGGGATTTGAGCCCAGGCCGTCTGACTCCAAAGCTGGAGCTCTCCATCCATGCTGTACTGTCTCCTCCATCAAGCGTTCTCATTAGCATCCCTCTGACACAGTGAGTGGATCACAAACTTCAGTGTCAGTCAGAATCACCTGAATGCTTCTTAAAACATTCAAAAGCATTCTCATGGGTACCACCATAAGAGTTTTGGTTCAGTCTCTGGGTAGCTAAGACAGTTAAGTGCTCTACTACTTGCAGAAAGGTTGATGGTATGAACCCACCCAGAGGCACCTCCGAAGACAGGCCTGGTGATCTGCTTCCAAAAGATCACAGCCTTGAAAACCATAGGGAGCAGTTCTAATCTGCACATATAGGGTTGCCATGAATTGGAATCGACTTGACAGCAACTAACAACAACAACAGCTAACAACCACCACCAACCACCACCACGAGAAATTTGATTCAATAGGTCTTTCTGGAGGAGCTCTAGTGGTTAAGCACTTGGTCATTAACCAAAAGGTGTCGGTTTGAACCCACCAACCACTCCGTGTGAGAAAGATGTAGCAATCTGCTTCTGTAAAGATTACAGCAGTTCTACTCTGTCCTGTAGGGTCACCGTGATCACGGCAATGGGTTTTTTTTAGGTCTGTCTGGGGCCAGAGACAGGGTTAGCTACATAATTTGCAAAATGAAAGTGCAGCACACCTGATGGAGGTGGAGAAGTCAGTCTCCCCTTCCCACAGGCTCACTGCCCCATCCATAGTGTATGTGAACATCCCCACTCCCTCACCGAAGAAATTGCTTCCTCCAGGCTGGGACTCACTCTGTGCCTGGATCGGGAATGGCAAGAGGACCCTGATGAGTCACCCACTGATCATGCCAGGGTGCTGCCAGCCTAGGTGGGGACAGCTGCCACCTTGCCCTGGTCTGAGCACCTTGGGATGTGCACCTGGCCTCCACCTGCCTGTGCTTGTGCCCAGGCCCCCATCAGGGGCAGGGGCAACAGCAAATACAAATCTTCGCTGCCAATACAACCTGTTTGCCACCCTGGGTAGAGGGTGGGAGTGGTTCTGGGGCAGTGAGAGTACTCCCAGGCACCAGATGGCGGGAAACAGGCAGCTGAAAACTCACCCTGGGGGAAACAGGAGGCAGGACCATGCGTGAGCTCAGGCTCCAAGTCCCCAGTGCTTCCTCCATGGTCCCATCAGACTTCACCTGCAAAACAGAAATTCAAAGATAAAATTAAGAAATTTAAGACAGTGACTGCAGAGTAGCTTCGTGAAATGCAGGGTTCTGTGTGACTGCGCTGGTTACACACTCGTGAATTCAGCTCTGGCCAGAGAATTTGCCTTTCTAGCAAGTTCCCAGGTGATTCTGATGCTCCTGAGTCGAGGAACACACTTGGAGAACCACTGCTGTAACTTAATCTTTCCTTTCTTTTAAAAAGACTCTTTTCTCCCCAACCTGTGCCTCCAAACCCTCATTCAAGGTCACACCAGCTTCAGGGAGGGCTAATTATTGCTTGGCTAGTTGCATCTAGCGTGGCAGTGGTGGTTCAGTGGTAGAATTCTCACCTTCCGTGACAGACACCCGGGTTCAATTCCTGGCCAGTGCACCTCATGCACGGCCACTATTCTTCTGTCAGTGGAGGTTCGCATGTTACTATGATGCTGAACAGGTCTCAGAAGAGCTTTCAGACTAAGATGGACTAGGAAGAAAGGCCTGGCAATCTACTTTGAAAATTAGCCAATGAACACCATCTGGATCACAACAGTTGCACCTATAATCAATCATGGGTACGGTGCAGGATCAGGCAGTGTTTTGTTTCATTCTGCATGGGGTCCCCATGACTAGGTGACCAACTCCATGGCAGCTGACAACAGCAGTGGCATCTGTTTATATTTCTACACATTCTAGGCTCACACCTTCCTGGTGAAGCACCAAGCAGAAAGATTCCTAGGTTCAAGGCAATGCTCCACTGTGTAACGTTGGTTTTCTTCTCTATAAAATGGTGATATTTCCTGCCTAATAGGATTGGGTGAGAGAACTAAATGGAATAATCCCTGTAAAGTGCTAAGCACAGTGCTTAGAATATAGGTCATCCTCAATAAATCTTAGCAACAATACTGATAGTAATAACTCCTATTCTGGCTATTGTATCTGATGCCTTTATCTATAGTTTCCTGGCTATTTCCAATCTGCTCTCCTTCACCCCATTTTGGTGAGCAAGCCAGAGAAGTATAGGAAAAGTCCGGGAGAGGGCAGGGATACCTCCGGTTAAAGCCAGCTATTGCCAAAAAGCCAAATCAAAAGGACATATGTAAGGATGCTGCTATTTGCCTTAATGAAATTAAAACTCAACCTTCTGATAATTCAAACTATCCTCTGAAGTCTCCTTTAAACTAAGTAACAGTTTAGCACAAAGAGTAAAGATTGACACCATTGAGTATTGTGTTACTTTTAAAAAAAAATTATCTATACAAGACCAAAGGGTCAGAAGCTATTTTAAAGCATAGATGACAAGGTTTCAGGGGCAGGAAGAATCAGTAAACGAAAGTGAAACAACTAGAACAGAAATAACGAGAATGTTGACATAACGTGAAGAATTTAACCAACGTCATTGATCATTATGTCTAGAAACTGTGGAATGGGTGCAGGTTTTGCTGTGTATATTTTCAGCAAAACAAAACAAAAAATGCAAACTTCTGAAATTGGCACTGAAGGGAGACAATCTGCATCGGGGGGTAGGTAGATCATTGTACCCTCTATTCCCCTGGGGACTGAGCTTCTAGCCTGTAAGGGACATAGAAGGCATATCAATATCTCTAGGGAGTAGAAAGCTCCAGGTGCAATTCAGAAGACAGATAAAGTCCTGGGGGTGGAGAACCAATTAGCACTGCCACTACCCTCCTATCATTCTCGGAGTGTGTGGGGAGGTGCTGTTTTCCCTTCAACATCTAGACCAGGTTATGATGTCCAGAAGCACATGACTGCAGCACAGCCAGCCGCAGAGGGCTTTCTTGAAGTCAGGCTCACATGGCTTTGCTTGCTCTCCAGGGCTCAACGCATCCCATCCCACGTGGAAAGCACACATTTATTCACCCACTGCTCTCAAACTCTAGACCAGGCAGACCAAGGCCCAGAGACAGAGAGGCTGAGCTCCTCTGCAGCGGGTCTCAACCTCGGAACCTCTCTGGGAGCTGTAAAAAGACCGACGGCTGGGTCCCATCCCTAGGGACTCTGATTCAATCAGTTTGGGGTCTATTCTAGGCACTGGTGTTCTAAAAACTCTACAGGTGTTTCTGTAGTGTGGCTGAGGTTGAAAACCACTGCTGCACTGCTTTCTCAGTTCTGAGTTGTTCTTTGAGGACCCGCCCCTTCTCTGAATGACCTACATGCAGAATGAACAGCCCAGCCGGAGGCACCCCCATTATTCACAGCAGCTTTAGTAGTTTTATCCAGGAAAGTCATCAGGACACACTACACACAGACAGGAGAGAGTCAGTATATGGTCAGGTGAGGGTGGGGTGTGAAAGCATTTCAGGGGAAAGTGAGAGGGTCACCGGGTCATAGGTCAGCACAGGTTAGGATAAAGAAATTGGTAAAAGGGATTCTAGGGTTGTGTCTAGAGTAT